CTCAAGCTCTTGCATTATATCTCTCTCCCTCTCTATCTCCAAGCTCCAATCCTTCAAACCCTACACCATTTTACACTACACCACCAAGCCCCACCCTTCCATCCTTCATTCCAGCAGCTGGAGGTTGTTCTTCAAGGCCTAGGAGTGCTACATCTCAAGCCAAAAGGGTGCCAAAGTTTAGTCTACAAGGGTAAGCTCCATTTCCCCCTTTTTGGTCCATATTTTGCATGATTTTATTAGCCTCTTGTGCTTGCTGTTTTGGGCTCCGACCCTAACTGGAGTTAGGCTTATTTTGAGCTCCTTTTCACTTTTTTTTGAGGGCCTCTCATTGTTTGAGGCCTCCTTGTAGCACTTGCTTCATTATCCCTCTTGTATGCCATTATCTTGTGTAGTATTTTTGGCCTATGTATAAAGTGTTTTGAGCTCTGTCATGAACTGAGAAGTGGCTTATTTTGAGCCCTTATTCAACATTGTTGAAGGGCTCATTGCTGTTTGAGGCTTCTATTTATCACTTGCCTTTATATCACTTTTTTTGGCTCCTTTTTTTTGCGTGGTTCATTAGCCTCTTATGCTTCTATTTTTGGACTCTAGTCCGAACTAAAAATGGTATTATTTTGATTCCCTCTTCATGTTTCATTAAGGATATTTCACTGTTTGAGGCATCCTTTTTATACTTTGTGTTATACCTCTCCTTTTGACCATATTTTGCATAGTATTTTTGGCTTGTATATATGCTGTTTTGGGTCTCGCCATCAACTGTAAAATGCCATGTTTTGGGCCCCTCTTCAACTTTGTTGAAGGGCCCTCTTGTGTTTGAGGCCAGAAACCTTCACTTGCTTCTTTGTCCATCTTTTGGCACATTTCTTGCATGAGAGCTTAGCCATACCTGTGTTTGTTTTTGGGCTCTTTTCAGAACTGTAAAATGTCATATTTTGGGCCCCTCTTCAATATTGTTGAAGGACCCTCAGCTGTTTGGGGCCAGCAGCTGTGACTTGATTCATAATCTCACATTTAGGGCCATTTTTGCATGCTAGCTTAGCCCCATTTGTGTTTGCTTTTTGGCCCTGCTTAAAACTGAAAACATGCTTTTTTTGGGGCTGCCTTGAATCTGTATTCACATGTCATGACCAAATAATGCATGCTTTGTATAGCTGTAGGCCATTGTGTATGCCTAATCTTGCATTTCGGGACCATTTCATGCATCGGGTGCTATATTGTCATGATTCGGGGCTGTTTCGGGTCATATTTTAGTGCTGAAATTTGCGTGCTAGCATATCATATTTCACGCCTTGCCATGTCTTGTTAGAGTGGCATTCGGTGCCTTAGGGTCGGTCCTCGGTTTGCGTGCATGCGTGCACGTACTTCGAGAGTCTCATTTTCATCTGATGGCCTCTTATGTGAGTGTGGCTGAGGTCCACTCATGTTGGTGTAAGTCCATTGTGCATTGTGTATGCCATTCCATTTTATAGCATTGTGTATGCTAGGTTGTATGTTAGCGCATTGTGTATGCCATGTTATCTCGTGCATCGTGTATGCCATTTCATAGCATTGTGTATGTTAGGTTGTATCTTAGTTGCATTTCATGCATATCATGCATATTGCATCGTGTTTGGGATAGGAGTTAGCCCAAGCACGGGAAACGAGGTACGTTTCGTACTCCGAGTGACGGAACGTGTCTCAATTCCCCAGTCACCGACACTCCGGATTATCCATGATGGAGTTAGGTTTTAGTTTTGTTTTCATGTGCATACATTCTATATTGAGTTGCGCAATTCGACTCCTCGGCCATCATGCATCGAGATGCGTGATTAGTGGCACGAGGATCGAGACATGCATACATATGTGAAAATACATTGCTATGCCCCTCTCTTGCTCTCTGTTGCAGCAAATCAAGAATCGGCGGTCTTCCGGAGCTTGGTGCGCTTTCCAAGAATAATTGCAAAACAGAGGCTAATTGGGACATCCCAGTGGATTTCCGCGCAAGGCAGCCCAAACATACATCATTCATCAGAGTCAAGGCAGTCCCTGGCTTGCATGCCAGTTTATAGCTTTCTTAGATTAATTTGTAAATTAATTAGGATTTTTGTATTTATTCGGGACTGTATTATTTATTCATTTGGGACTGTATATTATTTTATTCGGATCCTCCGAGCGAGGGCACAACTGTAATAAGTGTGCGTGTGTGTGATGTATGTCTTCCAACCCCACGTCTTTCTCCCTTTTATTTACCCGCTTATGATGGTTAGATTAGGGCATGTTTCAATTAGCATACAGTATGATAGCATGTTTGCATTCATTCATCTGTTTTGCATGCACTGGGCTCGGCGCATCATACTAACTGCATTGTATTTTCAATTCCAAGTTGAATACATGTTAGCTGTAGCATTTCATATGCCATGTTTAGAATAGCCGAGCCTGCTATAGTTGCATTTTTGCATGTGTTGCATTATGCATTTCTGTATAGTTAGGATCATGCATGGATTTCTAATTAGCTTCTGTTTTGGCTTGGAGTACTCGGTAAGTTTTATGCTTTAGCATCCTTGCATGCGTGTGAGTGACTGCCATGATAGCATGCTTGCCATGAGGCTATTTGCTTTTGTGATATAACTGCCTGAATGCCTGTGGGTGAAGGTTGGGTTACTTTAATTGGAACAATTCATCAAATGTGTGTTTTAAGCCCACTAGATAGTGGAAAATCATGTTTTCTAAGCCCACCCGAGGGTGGCAAATCCATGTCTTAGCCTACTTGCGAGTAACACCATCAAACCATTTTCAAAACAAACAAACATGAAATGTTTTGTTCCAATTCAGGCGATCCAGTCTATACTTGTATGCTGCGCGCATCACATAGTAATCTAGGCTAATAACTGGAATAAGAACGCACAATGTTTTCAAAAATAGATATCATGGTTAGTAGAGGCCGATCTTTGATCAGGCGAGCGGGGGTGCTCACGAAGTGACCTTCCCCAATCGTACCCAAGTTCCCGAGCCGAGGCAACTTTGGTGATGACGGACACGTGGCCTTAGGCAAACGAGTCAGGGTTTCCTAAATTTTTCCAAAATAAAATATTTAGGTGGCGACTCTGTATCTGGCAAAGCAGTCCATGTTTGGCACTTCTTTTCTAAAAATCTGTTTTCTCAAAACGATTTGCCGGATTTGGACTCTTTGGTTCAGATTAAGAACCGTGACAAATTTGAGAGTCCTGAGCTGTAGTGACCCCAAATGAACAGAACGGGACTCACCGTCCCGGGGCGTTCGGGGACGTCTACAGTAAGTTCCCTATTTTTTAGCTATTTTGGGTTAATAGTGTTTGATGATATAATATTTTTCATACTTATAAATTTATTTATTTTTTTCAATATTCATTTCTATTGAAAAAAAAAAATAGTATTGGGGGCGAAAAAAGACAAATGTCATTAGTTACAAACTTTTTGGTGACGAGTTCATTTGTCGCTAAAAATTCACTCATCTCTCCTCTATCACACTTTACGAAAACCATCATGAACGTATACTTGGAAAGTTGATTAAAAAATGGCTTTTTGATTTTTTTTTTAACTTTTTTTTTTTAAAAAATGTATTAAAAAGTAAAAAAGATGATATGATCCAAAATAGATTAAAAGTTAACTTTTAATTTTTTATGTTCTTCCCAAAAGAGGCCGAAGTTTCAATAATTTGTGACGAATTATTATTAATGTAGGCTCTATCATAAAATGAAAGGAGGAAAATTTCCTCTCCTCTATAATCTGAAATTAAGTGCACCGTTTGGGCCTGTCAAATTCATCATGAATTTTATTTCAATGGTTTGAATCGTTTATTTTATTGGCAATTTCGTGTATATCAACTCCAAAAATATTAAATGGAAGTTATAATCGTAACATATTCAATTTATTATAATTATCAAAAAAAAAAAATCAACGACAATTATATTTTTAAAAATAAATCATTCATTAAATTAAATTTGTTACAATTAATAGATCGGTATTTTTTTTTTGTATAAATAATATACACAAACAAAATTAATAATTTACATTATCCAAACTAAACATGTGATAAACACTACAAAATCAAACAAATTTAAATTATCGAAATAACATTCGTGATCCGTGATGCACTCTATGAAATCGTACAACCTCCACCAATTCATATTACTTTCCAAAGTAAAATACCTCAAAATAATAATACAAATGTGACATCCAAAATTTACCTGAATTTTTGGTGGGATATTAAACAATCCGCCGAGAATATCCGCACATTGACCTAGTTTTAGCATAGAAAATGATATATAAATTCATTTTTAGAAAATGTTATGTACTTTAAATAAATTATTAAATTTTTTATCAAATCTTTCATATGGGTGTGGAACTCACACAAATCACATGTGTGTGGGTCCCACCCCAATATAAGAGGTTTGGTAAAAATTTTGGTAATTTATTTGGAGTCCCTAACATAATTCTTCATTTTTTAGACCCATTTTATAGAATAATGATGTGTCAAGTAAATGATTGGCTAATATCAACTAATTATTTTCTTGGCATGTCTAAAAAGTGAATATTTTTTTAGACTAAATAGCAAATCAGTGGTGCTAGGGACCTCCAGTGGGGGCACCCCCAGTAGGGCAAAAACAATTTTTTTTTTTTTCTTTCCTTCCAATCACGCGGTGCCACATGGCACTAGGGGGGGTTCACTGGGAGTGGGGGTCTCAAGCTTTATTCATAGCAAATACTCTTTAGAATATAGGTACTAAGGCCTCGTTTGGGAACAAGATTTTTTAGTAACTTTTTGATTTTTTAGCTAAAATATGATGTAAAAAAAACTAGTATGTTTGAGAACCTTCGACATCTCTTTATGAACGAGGTGTCAATTGCGAAGCCATCATCAAAAGAGGCTTCACCGACAAACCTTCAGACCTTAATGGGGCTCCTGCTTGGTGCTAAGGACCCTTATGAATATAGCTTAGACTAGTTCACCAGCCTTCGGAAATTGGGAGTGTCATGCCATCCAAAATCAGTAGAGAAAACAGCCAAGTGCATATCAGGACTTGACAAACTCCAAACCTTAAGATTGAGATCAAAAGATCGATTTGGTCAACCTTTAGACCTCGAGTTGAGTCCTTTGAAGTACCATCAGTCTCTTTCGAACTTATATTTGTTTGGAGTGATAAAGGATGGGATTAAATACCTTCCCCTGAATCTCAAAGTCCTAACATTGTCAATGTCAAAACTCACAGAAGATCCAATGCCGGTGATAGGGAAGCTGCTGCCTCAACTGAACGTCCTCAAGATTCTTGCTTTCTCTTATCTAGGGTCGGAAATGAGATGTGTTTCAGGGAACTTCCCTAAACTCCGCGTCTTGAAATTGTGGATGCTAGAAAACCTAGTTCAGTGGACATTGGAGGGAGGTGCCATGCCCCAACTTGTGGAGATAGAAATTAGAGGTTGCAAAAAATTGACAAAGTTGGATGGATCAGAGCAGCTGCCTACCCTGAAGGAATTACTTTTAACAAACATGTCACTGGATTTTGTTGCAGATGTTAAAAAAAGGTTGGGAAGAGACATATTACTCACCAATGAGTGGGAGCCTTCGTCCCTCGCATGTAAGTTTTCTTCATTTGTAATATACTGTTTATCATTTTTTTTAATGAACCAAATATGAGCAGATCACCAAGGATCTTCTAATTACATTAATGTTTTTAATGAAGGATTAATGCTCGTGGATACTGGAGACTGGAATAAAATGCAGTTTTAATTTGGAGTCAAGACTGTCAAAAGACTTCAAAGAGTTGATGTGCTGCAAAAAAAAAAATGCAGCTTGTTGTGTCTCTGTTGTTCACAACACCGTTCTTTTTATGTAAAATACACTGCAACTCTATTTTTAACTTGTGTTTGGCTTAATTAAATAAAATTGCAGATCATTATGTTGGGGTCAAGTCTACTTTGGAGTCTCATACTCAACATCTATGTTCGTATGTTTCACTCGAAGCCCAAAAACAAGGTACATCTAACAGAGAAGTCGGTACATTGCTTAACACAATAATCAGTAAGAGGAGATCTAGAGGTATTGTCCTGATGAAAGTGCTTGATCTAGAGGGTGTCTACAAACCTTTGCTACCCGAGAAACTCAACTAATACTTACAGAACCTAAGGTCCATAGGCTTGCGATGGACCGGTCTAGAATCATGTTCGGAATCAATTGGGGATCTACCATGCTTGGAGACTTTAGATTTGAAGTATACTAATATAACCACTTTGCCGGGTTCCATTTGGAAGGCAAAGAACCTTCGACATCTCTTTATGAACGAGGTGTCAATTGCGAAGCCATCATCAAAAGAGTCTTCACCAACAAACCTTCAGACCTTAATGGGGCTCCTGCTTGGTGCTAAGGACCCTTATGAATACGGCTTAGACTGGTTCACCAGCCTTCGGAAATTGGGAGTATCATGCCATCCAAAATCAGCAGAGGAAACAGCCAAGTGCATATCAGGACTTGACAAACTCCAAACCTTGAGATTGAGATCAAAAGATCGATTTGGTCAACCTTTAGACCTCGAGTTGAGTCCTTTGAAGGACCATCAGTCTCTTTCGAACTTATATTTGTTTGGAGTGATAAAGGATGGGATTAAATACCTTCCCCTGAATCTCAAAGTCCTAACATTGTCAATGTCAAAACTCACAGAAGATCCAATGCCGGTGATAGGGAAGCTGCTGCCTCAACTGAACGTCCTCAAGATTCTTGCTTTCTCTTATCTAGGGTCGGAAATGAGATGTGTTTCAGGGAACTTCCCTAAACTCCGCGTCTTGAAATTGTGGATGCTAGAAAACCTAGTTCAGTGGACATTGGAGGGAGGTGCCATGCCCCAACTTGTGGAGTTAGAAATTAGAGGCTGCAAAAAATTGACAAAGTTGGAAGGATTAGAGCAGCTGCCTGCCCTGAAGGAATTACTTCTAACAAACATGTCGCCGGATTTTGTTGTAGATGTTAAAAAAAGGTTGGGAAGAGACATATTACTCACCAATGAGTGGGAGCCTTCGTCCCTCACATGTAAGTTTTCTTCATTTGTAATATACTGTTTATCATTTTTTTTTTTAATGAACCAAATGTGAGCAGATCACTAAGGATCTTCTAATTATATTAATGTTTTCAATGAAGGATTAATGCTCGTGGATGCTGGAGACTGGAATAAAATGCAGTTTTAATTTGGAGTCAAGACTGTCAAAGACTTCAAAGAGTTGATGTGCTGCAAAAAAAAAAATGCAGCTTGTTGTGTCTCTGTTGTTCACAACACCGTTCTTTTTATGTAAAATACATTGCAACTCTATTTTTAACATGTGTTTGGCTTAATTAAATAAAATTTATTTGTATGTTCATGAAATGGCTCACTTTTAAGGCTGAAATACTCACAGAATTTAGAGCATTCTAACATGTGGATTTGAAAGTGAGATTGAATCAACATGGTTCTTAAATTAAGAATGATTTAATTAAAAAAAATTTGACATCATGCTGATTTGTTGGTTTGAATGAATAGAGTCTTTCATGTAGGAGATTCACAACAAGTTTTGGTTTCACCTTTATCGGTTGCACCATATATTATGTGCAAATTTAACATTTCACCACTTGTGGCATCATCAGCCACAATAAATTAAAAAAGAACTTGGCATTGATTGAAGCTTCTTCTTCTTTTTCTTTTTCTTTTTCTTCTTCTTCTTTTTTTCTTGGTTGAGTATACATGCTAGTTGTTAGAATAGTAGAGAGAGAGAAATTAATATGAATTGTATTCAATTAAGTAATCATATACAATAGAAGACCTGTATATATAGACTGAGAAAGAGTATCCTATAAAAAACATAACTATGACAATATAAATACATCTAGAAAATCAATACCTAATATATCTAAAAATATATACTATATATACAGTAACATCCCCCCTCAAACTTAAGATAGGAGGATAAACATCTTGAACTTGGAGAGAGAAACTAAAATATGAAATAAAACTATATAAAATAAAAGGTAAATAGATTGCAAAATCCGAACGGAAGCGCAAGGGCACTTAAGATAGATCAGAGACTAGAGCTAATACCGAGAGACGGTTTATGGTCGTGTCGGACCATTGTAGGAACTGGTCGGAACTAATACCAGAACAGCTTTAGGTCGTGCCAGACCGTTATAGAAATTGACCGAAACTAATGCCAAGAGAGTTTAAGGTCGTGCCGAACCGTTATAGAAACTGGTCGGAACTAATATCAGGACAGTTTAAGGTCGTGCCGGACCGTTGTAGAAATTGGGCAGAACTAATGTCGAGATAGTTTAAGGTCTTGCTGGATCATTATACAAACTGGTCAGAACTAATGCCGGGACAGTTTAAGGTCGTACCGGACTATTGTAGGAGCTAACCGGAATAAATGTCGGGATAGTTTATGGGGTTATGCCAAACCGTTCTAGGAACTGACCAGAATCAATGTCAGAACAATTTACAGGGTCATGTTGAATCGTTGTACAGACTGGATGTTGAACCAGCAAACGTGGTACACACATAATTTATGACGTTGTGCTGAACAACGATGGCAATAGATGACTGAGTAAGCCAGGGGCGGCTTGGATGGTGGGCTAGGGGGTTATTTTGATAGTACTCCAAGGAACGGCTTGGGTTGTCATCAGAGGATTTTGTTTTGTTTTGTGTTTTTAGATATATTTTGACACTATGTTTTGAATCGGTTTGTGGCTTGGATGCTTCAGATGAATCTACATTTGTACTTATGTTTTAATGTTTCGAATTGTATAGAATTCGTACTTATGTTGGTTTGTTTTAGATTTGATATTGATGTTTGATATGGTGTTAGTTTTGGATTATTTTGCAGGTGTCCTAAATTATGTACAGGAAAACACGAAACTTATATTTTAAAAAATTTTGGCCCAATGACTATTTTGGTGGTAGTAGGTATTTTAGTCGTCATTAGTTGAATTTGGTGACTGATGAGATTTGTTGGAGGAATTTTAGAGTAAATTTTAGTTGCTAATTAGGTAATTTGATGATAAAAACATGTAGTTGTCAGTAAAAAAAAAATTAGTATTGAACCAGGGCATCTTGCTTCTTTTTCTCTCCCTGATATATAGTTATTGGCGACCAATGACTGACGACCACCATCGATTGGGGTTCACCACCGACCACCAACTCCTTACTTCACCATTACCAACGACGAAGGAGATGAATTTCCAGCGAAGAAAATGAGTAGATCTACATCAGATTTGAGTAAATCCACATCAAATCCAACTCGATCTAAACTAAAAATAGTTGTCGGAGTACAATCATGTTCCTATATATGTTTCTCTTATTCGATCTCTCAATTTTTCTACTTTTTCTGTATTACACACTTCTCTTTTATTGTTTTAATGGAGAAAATTTTCAAATTCTGAACAAGTTGTTTTTAAATTTTAGTTACAGGCGGTGAAAACTATAGAATTTTACAGTTTCAATTTTTTTAGTACTAGAATGAATCATGCTTTAAAATTGAAAAATTTTGCAGTTTCATAACATTCATTAGAACTATAAAATTTTACAATTTCATAACATGTTTTTCAGTTTAATTAATAAGGATAAATGCTTAAAAGATTTTTGCTTTCAAACTATAACATTTTACAGTATCAAAATTTACACTTCAGTTTGATCAATATTTGAGATTATTTGCTTAAATACTACAAAAATTGAAAAATAACATATATTTTTTCATATTGTTGTTGCTTGTTATTGTTACGTTTTTTTTTTTTTATTTTATCAATATTTAGTACATTTTGCTATATTTTTTGTTCTAATTTCACTACAACAAAAAAGGTCTATGGTGACAAAAACGCGTGACGAAAAAATAGTTCGTCTCCAAATATACATGTTTTAGTGATGAAAATAAGATTTCACCTCCAATTGTACTATTTTTAGAGACGAAAACCAAATTTCGTCACCAAATGCTTAAAATCAAATAAAACAATAGGTGACGAAAATTTTATTCGTCTCTAAATTTTATTTTTCGTCACAAAACAATTTCCCGCCCTTGGAAAATTTGGTGGAAGATTTGGCGCCATTTTGGAGATGAAATTTGTCGTCACCATTGTAAAAAAATTTAGAGAGGAAATAATTTCGTCTCCAAATGTATTATTTTTAGAGAGGAAAACCAAATTTCGTCACCAAATGCTTAAAATCAATAAAAAATACAAGAAATCTAGGCTATTGTGACAAAATTTGGTGACGAAATTTTTTTTGTCTTAAAATTTAACCCAAAGATGACGATATAGTAATTTTGTCGTTTGTTTTAATTTTTCTCAAAAGTATAGGAGACGAAAACAAAATTTCGTGTGCAAAAATGAGGCGCCAATTTCATTTGCATTGGCGCGAATTATTTTAGAGATTTTCAGATTAAAATGAAGCCCTCGACGATCAACAACTTTTTTATAAGTGACGAATGTAATTCAATCGCCAATAAATTCCATACCTATTAAACGATTCGTTGCATGTAACGCCCCAAAATAATAACATTAAACCCATCAAATAGGACATGCATTTACATTTAAACTAACCGCATTCCTTATTCATTCGAATTCCATTACATAAGTATTACATGTTAACATCAAACAA